GTTAGTTGGATAGTTTTTGTCTTATTCTTAAGCCCCATAAACTAAATATGATAATTAACAGTAATATTTATAATCATTTATTTGCTAGTTTCCTTGCTCTCTTTTTCATTTTGTGTCTCAGATCTTCCAGTGTATGTCATTGTATTATTCAAGTACACAATTTCAGAGTTTTTTTTTTTTTGAAACGGAGTCACGCTGTGTCGCCCAGGCTTGAGCACAGTGGCACAGTGGCGCGATCTCGGCTCGCTGCAACCTCCGGCTCCTGGGTTCAATCCCAGTTCAATCCCGCATAGCTGGGATTACAGGCAGAAATTCTTTTAGAGATGGCTCACTGGTAATAAGCTTCATTTTTGTTTATGATGTTGTGAGATAGCCTTTTGGGGTTCTGAATTTTAGGTTGGAATTAACTTTGCCTCAACTTTTTTAAGATTATTGATGTCCTTTTTGTTCTAGCTTTCGACTGCTCTTGAAAAGCATTTTGCCTTTTTAATTATTGTTCCTAAATGAATGATCTTTCTTCTGATTTTAAGATCTTTTTGCTGTATAGCCAAAAACACAGTTTCACCTCAGTGTGTCTAATTGTGGGTTTCTTTTTAATTATCTCACTTGATCAGAATAATTTATCTATGTGTTCTTGTCTGTTTTCAGTTCTGGAAAAATCTCAGCCATCAACTCTTCCAGTATTTCTTTTAGTTTCTTGATCTTTTCTTCTGGGTCTCTGGGCGTATTTCAAACTATTATTCTTTCATGCCTGTTACATTGTTTTTCAAATTTTTTGTCTTCCTGGCTTTTATCCTACATTCTGGGCCGTTCTTTCAGATTTCTCTTCTAGTTTGTAAATTCTGTTTTCAGTTTCTCTACTTGTGGTCCCTGGACTTAATTCTCCAAATCGCAATTCAGTTACTTGTTTTGTTTAGGTATTGTCCTCCTCTTGCCCCTGCCCTGTGCTGCTGCTGTTACATTTTGTTTATCATTACATCTCTGAGTTCACCTTCCTGTTTGTCTGTTAAGTCTTTGAAAATTATCTTACTTTCTTGTGAATTGTTGACAAAGAGAGTCAAATGCTATAAAATATTTAAAGAAGTTTATTTAGAGTCAAATAAACTTTTTTTAAAAGAGGTTTATTTGGAGCCAAAAAAAAAAAGCCAAAATGAGTGACCCTGGCCCGAGGCACAGTCTCAAGAGGTCCTGAGAACATGTGCCCAAGGTGGTTGGTATACATTTTAAGGATACATAAGACACCTATCATTACTTATGAAGTTTACATTGATTCAATCTGGAAAGGCGGGACAGCAGGCAGGGACACGGGGTGGGAACAGGGATTGGCTTACAGGTCACACATGGATTCAAAGATTTTTTGATTGGCTCTTGGTTCAAAGAGATAAGTTACTATCTAAAGATCTGAAATTAATAGAAAGGAGAGTCTGGGTTAAGATAAGGGGTTCCGAAGACCAAAATTTTTATGTAGATGAAGTCTCATAGGTGGCCACCTTTAGAGGCAGTAGATGGCAGATGTTTCCCAATTAGGCTGGACTGTCAGTTAGAATCTCTTCAGGATTGGGAGGGCCTGGAAGGGGAAAGGTGTAGTTATGTTAATACAGATGCAAAATTTTCCCCACAAAAGACTGCTTTGCAGGGTCATTTCAAAATATAGCAAAAACCATATTTGGGGATAAAGTATGTTGATTTCCTTCTTTATCTGTCATGTGACATTATTCAGAGTCAGGTTGAAAACTAAGAGAGATTATATAGGGTTAAATAAAACCCATCTGATGAGATGTTATTGTTTGTAAGGCATGACTCCGCAGTCTTCTTAAATAGGAATTTGGGCAAGAAAGAAAAAAATTCAGAGTTTAGTTCTCAGATTGAGGCAGTGCTTTAAAATATGACTCTTACCTCCTCCCATCTAGTTTTATCAAAGCAGGGATACACTGTAACATACACTACAGTACCTTAGTACTTTTTATTTTATGCATTTGGCATTGTGGTATAGTTATTGGTGAAGTTGTGCCAGCAAGTAAATAACATATATTTAGGACCAAAAACCTTTGTTTTTTATAGGATTTTTATACTAACATTTTTCAAGTTTATTGCCTTTGTATCTGATTTTGTTATTTTGTTCTTCTAATGAGTATATCAAACTCTTTGGCATGTGTATATTATTGCCTCTTAATCTGATAATCAATATTAAATAGATTTTTTTTTTTTTTTTTGGAGACGGAGTTTTGCTGTTGTTGCCCAGGCAGGAGTGCAGTGGCATGACCTCGGCTCACCACAACCTCCGCCTCCCTGGTTCAGGTGATTCTCCAGCCTCAGCCTCCCGAGTAGCTGGGATTACAGGCATGCACCACCATGCCCAGCTAATTTTGTATTTTTAGTGGAGATGGGGTTTCTCCATGTTGGTCGGGCTGGTCTTGAACTGCCAACCTCCAGTGATGCACCCGACTCGGCCTCCCAAAGTGCTGGGATTACAGGTGTGAGCCACTGCACCCAGCCAAGTAGCTATTTATAGTTAAGAACGATTCCAATAATTCCAGGTTGTAAGGCTACAGTGTAGGGATAATGAAAAAGTAACTCATTTTCCTTTTTTTTTTTTTTTGGAAGTAATAATAATAAAATAATCTTTTATTTTGCCTTTTTTGAAATGGAGGTAAAATACATATAAAGAAAAGCACAGATCTTATGTATTTGCTTGAATGAGATTTGACAGACACATACATGTGATTGCACAACGCCTAGATGAAGATATGGAACATTCATCTTGCCTTATACTACTTTCAAATTCAGTCCCAGTTCTTCAGGGGAAAATATTATTCTCACTTCTAGAAACTCATAACTCACCTGTTTTTAATCCTTATATGACAAAGTTACGAAATAACATTACCTTTGTGTATGACTGTTATTCAGTGTTTGTGGGATTCATTCTGTTTTGTATGTATCAGCAGTTCATTCTTTTTATTATTATTATTATTATACTTTAAGTTCTAGGGTACATGTGCACAACATGCAGGTTTGTCACATATGTATATATGTGCCATGTTGGTTTGCTGCACCCATTAACTCGTCATTTACATTAGGTATCCCTAATGCTACCCCTCCCCCCTCCCCCACCCCACAACAGGCCCTGGTGTGTGATGTTCCCTGCCCTGTGTCCAACTGTTCTCATTGTTCAGTTCCCACCTATGAGTGAGAACATGTGGTGTTTGGTTTTCTGTCCTTGCGATAGTTTGCTCAGAATGATGGTTTCCAGCTTCATCCATGTCGCTACAAAGGACATGAACTCATCCTTTTTTATGGCTGCATAATATTCCATGGTGTATATGTGCCATATTTTCTTAATCTAGTCTATCATTGATGGACATTTGGGTTGATTCCAAGTCTTTGCTATTGTGAATAGTGCCACAATAAACATACAAGTGCGTGGGTCTTTGTAGTAGCATGATTTATAATCCTTTTGGTATATACCCAGTAATGAGATGGCTGGGTCAAATGATATTTCTAGTTCTAGATCCTCGAGTAATCGCCACACTGTCTTCCACAATGGTTCAACTAGTTTACAGTCCCACCAACGGTGTAAAAATGTTCCAATTTCTCCACATCCTCTCCAGCTTTTTAACGATCGCCATTCTAACTGGTGTGAGATGGCATCTCATTGTGGTTTTGATTTGCATTTCTCTGATGACCAGTGATGATGAGCATTTTTTCATATGTCTGTTTGCTGCATAAATGTCTTCTCTTGAAAAGTGTCTGTTTATATCCTTTGCCCACTTTTTGATGGGGTTGTTTGATTTTTCCTTGTAAATTTGTTTAAGTTCTTTGTAGATTCTGGGTATTAGCCCTTTGTCAGATGGATAGATTGCAAAAATTTTCTCCCATTCTGTAGGTTGCCTGTTCACTCTGATGGTAGTTTCTTTTGCTGTGCGGAAGCTCTTTAGTTTAATTAGATCCCATTTATCAATTTTGGCTTTTGTGGCCATTGCTTTTGATGTTTGTTATGAAGTCCTTGTCCATGCCTGTGTCCTGAATGGTATTGCTTAGGTTTTCTTCAAGGGTTTTTATGGTTTTAGGTCTAACATTTAACTCTTTAATTCACCTTGAATTAATTTTTTTATAAGATGTAAGGAAGGGATCCAGTTTCAGCTTTCTACATATGGCTAGCCAATTCTCCTAGCACCATTTATTAAATAGGGAATCCTTTCCCCATTTCTTGTTTTTGTCAGGTTTATCTAAGATCAGATGGTTGTAGCTGTGTGTTGTTATTTCTGAGGCATCTGTTCTGTTCCATTGGTCTATATCTCTGTTTTGGTACCAGTACCGTGCTGTTTTGGTTACTGCAGCCTTGTAGTATAGTTTGAAGTCAGGTAGTATGATGCCTCCAGCTTTGTTCTTTTTGCTTAGGATTGTCTTGGCAATGTGGACTCTTTTTTGGTTCCGTATGAACTTTAAAGTAGTTTTTTCCAATTCTGTGAAGAAAGTCATTGGTAGCTTGATGGGGATGGCGTTGAATTTAAAAATTACCTTGGGCAGAAGTGGCCATTTTCACGGTATTGATTCTTCCTATCCATGAGCATGGAATGTTCTTCCATTAGTTTGTGTCCTCTTATTTTGTTGGAAAAAGTCATTTTCTATTTGATAATTATTTTCTAACAATTTCTGGATATTAAAATTCCCAAAATTCTAAATTTTAGAATGGCATAACGAATTCTGTCTTCATTTTATTTGTAGAATTGAAGATGTTTCTCATTTTAGTCTTGTAAAACTGTCCTTTAGAGCTTATTTTTAAAATCATTGTTAGTTTTAATCATTCTGTGAATGAATTTGGCATCTATTTTCACGTTAAAAGACAATTTTGAAAATACCTCAGAATTATAGTTTTTTTTACCATTTGTAATCATTTTACTGTGATGAACTTCTGAAGGTAAATAAATGCTCAAACATTTGAGTATTCTGTGCAAAAGAAGAGTATTGTTTATTCTAAGTTACGTGTCTTATTATTTTAGACAAAGAAACAGCCTTGGTATAACAGCACATTAGCATCAAGACGAAAACGACTTACTGCTCATTTTGAAGACTTGGAGCAGTGTTACTTTTCTACAAGGATGTCTCGTATCTCAGGTATATATTTAGACCTTCTCAAATTATCTGAAATCTACATTTCAGATCTGTTTCTGGGTTTTTGTGCTGAATTTACGGAAGGTCCTAATTGCAAAGCAAAAGTGTGTGTTTTTGACACAGTCTACCAGATGATCATGGAGGTTCTTAGTGATCTTAGAGAATGTTATTTTCCAATGACAATTGTTTTCTATATTTGCGAATTCTGAATCTTTATCTGGCAAGCTAGATAAAGTTAAAAAGAAAGTCAGCCATGAATATGTAGCTAACAAAAATAAGTTTCATTCAGTTGCCTCCTATTTAACATTAAATAAACATGAAGTTCTAGGCACTGTCCTCTGTGCTGAGAATAAAACGATGAAAAAACTGGTTTCTGTCGTTAAGGAGTGTTGTAAATAGAGTCAGGGAAAGCAACAGATAAAGCAGTTCTGTGTGATGTTATGTGTTAAATAAATTTACAGGAGTATCATGAAAATAGATAATATTCACTAATATAACTGGTAGTAAAAAATCCAGGCTGAGTTGAAAATGGAGAGGTGTAAGGGAATGATCAGTGTAGGGATTTCAGAGGAGTTGTATATGTGCTATTCTAGTATAAATTAACTGAAAAAGATACTTAGAAACGTGTTCAAAGTAGAGGAAATAACATATGCAAAGACATGGATGTGATAGCATAGGATATTTCTATTACTGTAAAAAAGTAATTTAATTTTTCCTCTTTTTCTTAACTCTGTTCTTTAGTCTTTCTCAGTGTCTTTGCTCATCTATGAAGTAGAAACATTAACCCTAATGGGTTTTTTAATGATTGTAAGTGACATGTATAAGATACAATGCTTGGTACCTGTTGGGTGCTCAATTAATTCATGTCATTAATGGGGCATCTACTTAAAATAAACCCCACTAAGAGAGAAAAAAAATGGTCTGATATGTTATTGGTTGTTAAAAACTGAGTGTTGGTTTTCTCTTGAATAAATATGTTTATATTATTTATAACCTACATGTTGCTTAGATCCTACAGACAAATTTACCTCCCGATTGGTGGTATAGGAAAACATATATTAGATTTACAAAGCATTTTTCCTCTGAAGACCAAGGGAGAAGCCAAGATTTGCTTGTTTTTTGAAATTAACAACAAACAGTTTTTATACATGGAAAGCTTTCATTTATGGCCTGTGAATTGAGCCCCTTATTGTGCTTGTGTAATAATCTATAAATATAAACTACCATAGGAAGTTGTTAAGTTGAAAGTAGCCCAATATCTGCATTCTGACTGGCAGAGTTCATGTTAACCCTTCAATACATTATTTGTTGGTATGATGTTGAAATACAACTATAGGCAAGTAGCAGACCTTTAAAAAAAGAGGTGGGAAAGAGATTGGGGTAGGCTGTTGTTAATAATCTTTAAGTCACTAACAGCATAGGCATGGTATGAAATAGTAAAGGTCATCACAAGTCATTTTATTTTTGGGAGGTAGCTTTACAAGACAGTAGAATAATAAAACCAGGAGGAAAATTAGATAGATTTTTATTTGTGTGGGTGTGGCTGTATTGTACCTAAAACATGTCTCTAGTTTTCAGGAATCTTATGTTAGCTACCTAGTGTAATTATATTGCTGGATTTTAAGTTCCTCCTAGTACCTTTGACTGTAAAGGGGAAATTTTAACTTCTCTGAAACGGTGTAGCTAAGAGGTTGATTGTCCTTTGTATATTTTCAAATGAGAATCTAAATCCATCTGTATTCCCTAACTTTTATTTCCAACTTTCAAACTGAGAGATGGATATTAAAGAACTATTACTTTGGAGTTTCCATTGTAATTGAAAGAGGAAGTTAATTATAAAGCATTAGGAGAAAGAAAAGAGACATTGAATACACTTTTACAAACCAATTTGTAATTAGGATAGGAGAGGTGATATACCAGCAGATATGTTTGGATGTTGATGATAAAACACCACGCAAACGAAATTCTACCTTTTTGTAACCTCATAAGTTAAAACCAATTACTCTACTTTCAGATACTGAAATAACTAGTTTTATTGTTTTCTTTATGGTTTCTGTTGAAAGTAGCCATTAATGAGCTTATATGATAGGCAGAAATCCAGTTAGCCTAGAACAGGACTGTTAACCTAGAACAGAATACACAATATTGAATGCTTGTTTTATGTACTTAGGAATTGATATCAAAATGGGCATGAATAGGATAACATTGAAACAGGTTTTAAATTAATAAAACCAACCATCTTTCCAGTATGTGGAATGTTAAATAACTCACAGTAATAGGTTTCCATATAAAAATAATCATTAACTATTATATCCAGACCACTCTGCAGTATGGTTGTGATTTTTAGTTTTGCAAATAACCCATGTTTTATTTATAATATGTGGAATTTCCTGAGAATAATTTTTGTAGAGCGAGAGTTTTATCTCAGTACCATTATGATATTGCCTATTAGGTTTGCTCTCTTTAGAATGGAAGCACAACTAATTGTACCCTTTAAATCTAGGTGTTTTGATGAATTTACTTAGTGTTTAAATCTGTAAAATTTGTAAAGTATCAGGGACAAAAGCTCACTCAGTTTCCTCAAGTAATGTTATTTATTTTTCCTTTTTCTTTTTCTTTCTTTTTTTTTTTTTTGTAACGGAGTTTTGCTCTTGTTGCCCAGGCTGGAATGCAGTGGCGTGATCTTGGCTCACCACAACCTCTGCCTCCCGGTTCAAGCAATTCTCCTGCCTAGCCTCCCAAGTAGCTAGGATTACAGGCAGGCACCACCATGCCCGGCTAATTTTGTATTTTTAGTAGAGACAGGGCTTCTCCATGTTGGTCAGGCTGGTCTCGAACTCCCGACCTCAGGTGATCCGCCTGCCTCAGCCTCCCAAAGTGTTGGGATTACAGGTGTGAGCCACCGCACCAGACCCTGGTTTTTTGTTTTTTGTTTTTTAATAATATTTGTTACATAAATTTTGTCATGCAAACAGTTGTTTTCAAGATTACCTAGTATCTCCAGATAACATAAGTTCTTCACTGTGCTTTATATTTTCTGTATAACTCTTTTGACTTAATAATTCTGGCATCTTTTATTATGCTTACTCTTACTTCAGACAGCACTTAAGAAGGGAAATCATGAACGTTTGCCTTGAAAAGTTTGTGTGTGTGTGTGTGTATGAGCTTAGAATAAAGAAGCTATGAAAATACAGTGGTATAACAAACTTGTCTCAGTTTCAGTCTTGGAAGCTAAAGTGCTCATTGTTTTTATCATTCTTCAGAAAAGAAAGTATAAGTTCAAATGACAGTGCTGAAAAGCAGTGATTTTTTTAAATTTATGCTTTTAGTGTAGGTCTGCTTGTATTAATAGACTGGAGAATAGATTAGTTGTATTCTCAGGTACTTCGTAAACTGATTTTATGTTTTAAATCCCACATGATTTATCTTCAAATAGTTTACTGAAGTGAACTTTACCCAAGGTATTTGTATACTTTTCCACTGGATGGAATTATTGTTTTTCATATTTCACCAAGAGATTTGAATGAAAATTTATTTTTTCTTGATGAAGGTACTCTTTGAGGTAAATGGGAGCAATTTCAAACTTTTTTTGTTTTTTAGAATAGTTCGTAACATTGTAGTTTTCTACTCTCTTCCTGTAATAGAATTTGAAACATTTCAGTGTATTATTTGAGCAAATATTTCTTATTATTTATAAACTAATGTTATTGTAAACTGGATTTTAAACAAAACATGGGCATAAATATGTATGCCAGTAACCATGTTCCTTCAAACTAACAAATGCCCATCCAATATATGTACTCTTCTTAACATCCTCACATTCTCCATTGATGGATTTTTATTTTAATGACTCTCAAATAGTAACTCTTTTATTATTATTATTTTTATTTTTCCAAGAAATTATTGCCATAAAAATGAGAATTCATAGTGGAAAGAGACAGTGTCTTTCAAAGAACCAAGACATTTTTTATTAAAGCTGAAAAATTAACCAGTTAAGTTGTGCAAACTAGTCTTTAGTAAAATCTAAATATTGTTTTTTGTATTTAGAATATAACTTTTAATTTGTGGATGTAGCTCTTTGATTTACTTTGTAGTTCAATTCATCTATTTTCTTTTTTTTCTGTTTTTTTGTTTTTTTTTCATATAGATGACAGTCGAACTGCAAGCCAGTTGGATGAATTTCAGGAATGCTTGTCCAAGTTTACTCGATATAATTCAGTACGACCTTTAGCCACATTGTCATATGCTAGTGATCTCTATAATGGTTCCAGTATAGTCTCTAGGTAAGTATTGGGCAAATTACTATTTTCTTTTGTAAAAATGTCTAGAATCTAATTGAATTTGTGAAACACTTACAGCATTATTTTTTAAAGAGTGGGTTCTGAAGTAGCCTGCCAATTATTAGTTCTGTGATTTTAGGCAAGTTCCTGAATTTCTATATGCCAAATTTCTTCATCTCTAAAATGGAATAATTGATAGTATCCATCTCATAAGGTTGTAGCTTGTTTTCTTGTACTATCTATGTCTGGTTTTGATGACAGTATGCTCTCCTCATAAGTGCTCCCACCTCTGGATTTTCTGGAAGTTTGTATAGAATTAGTGTTATTTCTTCTTTAAATATTTTGTAGAATTTGCCAGTGAAGCTTCCAGAAATGAATTTTAATTATCAATTCAATTTTCTTAAGAGGTTTAATCAGATTATCCATTTCTTCTTGATTTAGCATTATAATTAGTTTGTGTCTTTTAAGACATTTGTCCATCTTATCAGGGCTGTTAAACTTTTTGGCGTACAATTATTCATAATATTGCCTTATTATTCTCTTAATATCTTTGGATTGTATGATGATTTTCCCTCTTTCATACCTGACAGTGGATTTTGTTTCTTCTTACCTTTTACCTGAAGAGTCTAGCTGAGAAGTTTATCAGTTTTGTTGATCTTCCCAGAGAGCCAGCTCTTGGTTTTATTGATAGGCTGTATTTGTCTGTTTTCTGTTATCATTAATCTTTGCTCTTAATTATTTTCATTCTTCTACTTTTTGAGGGTTTAATTTGCTCTTATATGCTAATTTCTTAAAGTAAAAATTGAGATCATTTAGTTGATACCTTCTTTTCTAATATAGTTATTTTGTGGTATACATTTTCCTGTAAGTACTGTATTAGCCACATCACAAAAAAACTGATGTGATACTTTTCCATTTTAGTATAGTTCAAAGTACTATTTTAGCTTTCTTTTTATTTTTTAAAAAGTTTGTTTTTTAAAATTGACAGATAAAATTTTATGTATTTATTGCATACAGCATGTTTTGAAGTATATGTCAAAATACCTTTTAATTTCCATTTTGATTTTTCTCTTTGACCCATGGTTACTGAGGCTGTTACTAGTTTCCAAATATTGGGATTTTCCAGTGATCTTTCCATTACTGATTTTTTTATTTTTAAGGGACAGGGTCTAATTATGCTGCCTAGGCTATCCTCAGACTCCTGGGCTCATGCAGTCCTCCTGCCTCAGCTTCCCAAGTAGCTTTGACTATTACTGTACCCAGCTTGCTTTATATTATTTTTATCATTATTTGAAATGTTTAATGAAAGTTTATAATATACAGGAAAATAGAATGGAATAAGTCTTCACATAACCATCACCCACATTCAGCAGTGGTTAAGATTTTTCTGTACAAGTTTTATGTATCCTCTTCATTTTGATTACTTTTTGCTTAAGTATTTTATTATTTTTTTTTCCATGTTCCCTGACCACTTTTATTTTTTTATTGTTTTTTAATATTTTCAACTTTTTTTATAGATTAAATGGTACACATGGTACACATGCAGGTTTGTTACATGAGAATATTGCATGACACTGGAGCTTGGGGTCCTAAGTTTCTGTCACCCAGACAGTGAGCATAGGTACACAACAAGTGTTTCATAAGCCCACGCCCCCTTGCCTTCTCCCACATCCCCATCTAGTAGTCCCCAATAACTGTTGTTCCCATATTTACATTCATATGTCTTCAGTGTTTAGCTGTCACTTAAAAGTGAGATGATACATTATTTGGTTTTCTGTTCTTGCATTAATTCACTTAGGTTAATGGCCTCCAGCTTCACTCTTGTTGCTGCAAAGGACATGGTTTTATTCTTTTTTAAGGCTGTATTGTATTCCATGTGCCACATTTTCTTTATCCAGTCCACCATTGATGGCCACCTAGATTGATTACATGCCTTTGTTACTGTGAATAACACTGCAGTGAACATACTAGTGCATGTGTCTTTATGGTAGAACAACTTACTTTCTTTTGTGCGTATACCTACTAATGGGATTGCTGGGTCAAATGGTAGTTTTGCTGTAAGTTATATGACGAAACTCCAAACTGCTTTCTGTAGTGGTTGATCTAGTTTGCATTCATAGGAACAGCATATAAGCATTCCCTTTTCTTCACAGCCTTGCCTAGTATCTATTGTTTTTTTGACTTTTTAATAATTGCCGTTCTGTGATGAGATGGTATCTCATCCTGGTTTTGATTTTTATTTCTCTGATGATTAGTGATGTTGAGCTTTTTTTCATATGCTTGTTGGCAACTTGTGTGTGTTCTTTTGAGAAGTGTCTGTTTGTGTCTTCTCATTTTTTATTGGATTTTTTGTTTTTCATAGGTCGATTTAAGTTTCTTGTAGATTTTGGATATTAGGCCTTTGTCAGATGCATAGTTTGCAAATACTTTCACCCATTCCATAGGCTGCTTAGTCTGTTGGCAGTTTCTTCTGCTGTGCAGAAGCTCTTTAATTTAATTAGGTCCCACTTGTCAGTTTATGTTTTTGTTGCAATTGCTTTTGAAGACTTAGCCATAAATTATTTGCCAAAGCCTATGTCAGGAAGGATATATCCTAACTTTTCTTCTAAGATTTTTATAGTTTGAGGTCTTAGATTTAGGTTTTAATTGATCTTGAGTTATTGTATATGATGAAAAGTAGCGGTCCAGTTTTATTCTTCTGTGCGTGGCTAGCTAGTTATCCAAGCACCATTGATTGAATAGGGAGTCCTTTCCCCGTGGCTTATTTTTGTTAATTTTGTCAAAGATCAGATGGTGTAGGTTTGCAGCTTTATGCCTGGGTTCTCTATTCTATTCCATTGGTCTTATGTATGTTTTTGTACCTACCAGTGCCATGCTGTTTTGGTTACTGTAGCCTGATAGTATAAATTGAAATTGGGTGGTGTGATGCCTCCAAGTATGTTCATTTTGCTTACTACTGCTTTGGCCATTCAAGCTCTTTTTTTGTTCCATGTGAATTTTAGAATAGTTTTTTTCTAATTCTGTGAAAAATGACGTTGGTATTTTAAGGATAACATTGGATCTCTAAATTGCTTTGAACAATATTGCCATTTTAACAATATTGATTCTTCCAATCATGCTTATGGAAGAATTTTCCATTTGTTTGTGTCATCTTCAATTTCTTTCAACAGGGCTTTGTGTTCTCATTGTAGAGATCTTTCACCTCCTTGTTTAGATGAGTTTCTAGGTATTTTATTTTCTTTGTGGCTATTGTAAATAGGATTGTGTTTTTTTCTTTCTTTCTCAGCTAGAACATTATTAGTGTACGGAAATGCACCAAATTTTGTACGTCAATTTTGTATTCTGAAACTTTACTGAATTTGTTTATGAGTTCCAGGAGTCTTTTGGCAGGGTCTTTATGGTTTTCTCTGCATAAAATCATATTGTCAGCAAAAAGAGATAATTTGACTTATTCTTTTCCTATTTGGATGCCATTTATTTCTTACTATTGACAGATTGCTCTGGTTAGGACTTCCAGTATTATGTTGAATAGGAGTGGTGAAAGTGGGCATCCTTGTCTTGTTCTAGTTGTGAAAGGGAATGGTTTCACCTTTTGCCCATTCACTATTATGTTGGCTATGGATTTGTCATAGATGACTCTTACTGTTTTGGATTATGTTCTTTTGATGCCTAGTCTGTTAAGGGTTGTTATCATGAAGAGATGTTGGATTTTATCAAAGACTTTTTCTGCATCTTTTGAGATGATCATATGTTTTTTGTTTTTTATTCTATTTATGTGGTAAATCACATTTATTGATCTGCATATTGTGAATCAAGCCTTGCATTGCAGGAATCAAGCATACTTGATCGTGGCAAATTAACTTTTGATGTGCTCCTGGGTTCAGCTTACAAAATACTTGTATTTTATGATACAGAGTATTTTATTATAATAATAATAATTTTATAATACAGAGTATTTTGTTGAGAATTGTTGTACCTGTGTTTATGAGGGATATTTGCTTGAAGTGTTCTTTTATCATTGTGTCTCTGCCAGATTTTGGTGTCAGGATGATGCTGGATTCATCGAATGAATTAGGGAGAAGCCCCTCCTTGATTTTTTGGAAGTTTCAGTAGGATTGGTATCAATTCTTTGTACATCTGCTAGAATTTGTCTGTGAATCATCTGGTCCAGGGCTCTTTTTGGTTGGTAGTTTTGTTTTGTTTTGTTTAAATTACTGATTCAATTTCTGAACTTGTTACTGGTCAGTTCAGATTTTCACTTTCTTATTGTTTGAATCTTGGGAGGCTGTGTGTTTCCAGGAATTTATCCATTTCCTCTAGATTTTCTAGTCTGTGTGCATAGAGATGTTCATAATAATCTCTGAGGATCTTTTGTATTTCTGGGGTATTGGTTGTAATGTCATCTTTGTCATTTCTGATTGCACTTATTTTGATCTTCTCTTGTTTTTTCTTTGTTAATCTTGTTAGTGATTTATTAATCTTACTTACTCTTCTGAAGAACCAACTCTTGATCTTACTGATCTTTTGTATGGACTTTTGGATCTCAATTTCTTTCACTTCTTCTCTGACTTTAGTTTTTTGTTCTACTAGCTTTGGGATTAGATTGTTCTTTTTCTTCTAGTTCCTCTACATGTGATGTAAGGTCATTAACTTGAGATCTTCCTAACCTCTTGATGAAGGCATTTTAGTGATATAAATGTTCCTCTCTACACTGCTTTAGCTGCATCCAAAGATTTTTGGTAAGTTGTATCTCTGTTTTCATTAATTTCAAAGAATTTTTTTCATTCCTGCCTTAATTTCTTTGTTTATCCAAGGGTTATTCAGAAGCACATTGTTTAATTTTAATGTTTTGTGAGATCTTCTTGATACTGATTTCTGTGTTTATTCACTGTGGTCCAAGAGTTATGCTTGGTGTGATTTCATTTTTTTTTTTTTAATTTACTGAGATTTGCTTTATAAGGCCAAGCATGTGGTCTATCTTAAAACATGTTCCATGTACAGAT